CTCCTACACCCTCCCATGTTGTGAATCTGTGAGGACCATCCCTCTCCTTCAACCTCCCATGTTGTGTGTCTATGTGAGGAGCATCCCTATCTTACTCCCTCCCATGTTATATGTCTAAATGAGAAGCATCCCTCTCCTACACCCTCCCATGTTGTGAATCTGTGAGGACCATTCCTCTCCTTCATCCTTATATGTTGTGTATCTATGTGAGGAGCATCCCTCTACTTCATCCTTATGTGATGTGCATCTATGCTATGTGGGGACCATCCCTCTCCTACACCCTCCCATGTTGTGAATCTGTGAGGACCATTCCTCTCCTTCATCCTTATATGTTGTGTATCTATGTGAGGAGAATCCCTCTACTTCATCCTTATGTGTCTATGTGGGGACCAGCCCCCTCCTACACCCTCCCATGTTGTTTGTCTATGTTAAAAACAGCCATATCTTACTCCCTCCCATGTTATATGTCTAAATGAGAAGCATCCCTCTCCTACGCCCTCCCATGTTGTGAATCTGTGAGGACCATCCCTCTACTTCATCCTTATGTGTCTATGTGGGGACCATCCCTCTCCTTCATCCTTGTGTGTGTTGTATCTATGTGAGGACCATTCCTCTCCTACAACCTCCCATTTCGTGTGTCTATGTTAGGACCATCCCTCTCCTACCCCTCCCATGTTGTGTTAATGTTGAGACCATCCCTCCCCTACATCCTCCCATTTTATGTGTCCTAATGAGAAGCATACCTCTGTCACACCCTCCCATGTTATGCGTTTTTGTGATGATAACCCATCTCCATTACCCTCCCATGTTGTATGTCTATGTGATGACCATCCAACTCCTATGCCCACCCATGTTGTGTGTTTATGTGAGGACCATCCAACTCCTATGCCCTCCCATGTTGTGCGTCTATGTGAGGACCATCCATTCTTACACCCTCCCATGTTGTGTGTCTATGTGATGATAGCGCTCTTCTACCCCCTCCCATGTTGTGTGTCTATGTGATGATAGCACTCTTTTACACCCTCCCATGTTGTGTGTCTATGTGATGCTAGCGCTCTTCTACACCCTCCCATGTTGTGTGTCTATGTGATGCTAGCGCTCTTCTACACCCTCCCATGTTGTGTGTCTATGTGGGGACCATCCCCCTCCTACACCCTCCCATGTTGTGTGTCTATGTGGGGACCATCCCCCTCCTACACCCTCCCATGTTGTGTGTCTATGTGATGCTAGCGCTCTTCTACACCCTCCCATGTTGTGTGTCTATGTGGGGACCATCCCCCTCCTACACCCTCCCATGTTGTGTGTCTATGTGATGATAGCCCTCTTCTACACCCTCCCATGTTGTGTGTCTATGTGGGGACCATCCCCCTCCTACACCCTCCCATGTTGTGTGTCTATGTGGGGACCATCCCCCTCCTACACCCTCCCATGTTGTGTGTCTATGTGATGCTAGCGCTCTTCTACACCCTCCCATGTTGTGTGTCTATGTGATGATAGCACTCTTCTACACCCTCCCATGATGTGTACCCTCGTGTATGAGCCATTACCCCCCTTTTTTCTCTCAGGATTTCTGACTTTGTTGGAACCATAGCACTCCTTCACCCTTTTATGATGTATGTCTCCTTTGGGATCACACTAACAGTGGTCTCAGACAGACATCCAGACTTCTTACATCAATCTTGTTACATAATCATCATTTTGCTGTTGAAAGTACATGAATTTTTAGCAATTTATTATATTCCTGGAGCAGACAACACAGAAAAAATAACAAGCATGACAAGTTCATTGTAAATCTTGTGACATGTGGTTCCCAGTCAGGTTAGTTTCTTCGACTCTGCGGGGAAGACATGTAAATTGTACCATACTGAAATATGTTCTATTAAATGTTAAGTAAATTTTACTTTGCAAAACATTTAATATTAATTTTGACACCATGAAGATTTGAACTCTTGCCTTTGACCTTTATATCCACATAAACCTTTGACCTTTGATAATGGTAGTTCACATTGTAAATACAATCAAACTTAGCAATGTTTAGAATATCATTTCCTTTTTCCACACTTGATGAAGGTTTCATTACCTATCAATTTGCGTAGCCGCAACAAACACAATTTCAAACTGTATTCTCGAGAATATTCCCAAACTTGTATTCATCTACTAGAAAACTGATCATAAGATCAGCAAGGGCCTATGCCTGACCATACCCCATGGTTTAATTTTATTGACAGTGACCTTGACCTTACAAACTCCTTAAATCTCTTTTGCACATCTTAATATCACAGTGTATCACCATGTCAAATTTCAAAAAGATTAGTCTTTTGGATTCCGAGATATGGAATGTACCCCCTTGGTCTAATTTTAGTAATGTGACCTTTACCTCAAAAACTTTTAAATCCCTATTGCACATATATATATATATCACAGTATATCCCCATATAAAATTTCAGGAAGAATAGTATTGGAATCCAAAATTATCTTCAAAAACCAAACTGTGGATAGACAAACGGGAGTTAGTTGATTTTTTTGCCAATTTGATCCCTTCCCCCCCC